ATTATTCACTTAATAATTAATAAATGTGACACACATATATAAAATATTTTAAGAGCACTCATCAGTTTTCACAATTGTACAGAAGTACTGCCATCAAAAGATGAAAAACCTACCATCATTTCAAAACAATACTCCAGTGGTGCCCATCTCAACCAAGCCCCTCCAATATGTAAGTTAACCCTAAAAAAAAAAGGAACACATTCCATTTTTTTGCTATTTTAAACCTCGAACCTGTTACTGCTATTTCCTACTTTTCTACAACATATGCTAGGCATCTAAGCATATGGAAATGGGACCTGTGAACAGCTAAATGGGGGACAGGGCTTTGTGGGTCACTGGCACAAGAGACACGCAGCCACTCCTGTGATGAAAACATGCTGCAAGTTTCCCATTTCTCCTCTAACACTCCATTAGGATATTACTCAAAATGATACCCTCTCTGCAGCTCACCTCAAGTATTCCTTGGATGATTGCCTCTTAATATCCATAGCTCTTTTTCGTGTTTCCACTGGGAGATCACAGTGAACTTGAATAGATTATCAGAGAATACACTCAGGAAGAGCTAGAACACTGTAGATGAATACAACCATTTCTCTAAATAGAGGGAATTTCACGGTTTAATGGGGTCTATGTTACACACTCAGTCTGCACAGCAGCAAAATGAAAATGACTGTATGATTTTAAATATTTAAAAGTGAAATAAAAATCTTCTCAATTGACATTAAAAACAAAAGACACCATAAATATTGGTGGCTTAAATCAATAACAAGTCTCAAGTCCAAGAAAACAAAGATAATGGCATCCTCATTCACTGCTACCATCATAGAAAAGATAAATACACAGCTCAGCCTCCCAGTTCACACAATGATAATTTTTACTTTTCTTCAAAGGCTTTAATTCCATCTTATCAGACAAAGCTTTGCAATTTGCTGACCATCTCTTTTCCCACAGACATATAAGGACTAGGACTGCAAGAACTTATTTGCTTCATGTTCCTATATCCAAATCCTACTGGGACTCACTTCTGCAAAATTGGGTATGCTGCCTCTATAGTGCACGGCACGTGCGAGATGTTGAAACATTAGCATCAAGGGTGTAGTCTCTGAGAAAGAAAGGCTTGACTGGCATGGTGGTCCTGGCCCTCTGCCTTGCTAGGTTTGTATTGTCTCTCAATTTACCTAAACTCAAAGGCCCCAGTTCAGACTTAAAGAGATATTAAACACACATGTAGGGCCGCCCCGTGGCTCAGCAGTTAAGTGCGCGCGCTCTGCTGCTGGCGGCCTGGGTTCAGATCCCAGGTGTGCACAGATGCACGCCTTGTCAGGCCATGCTGTGGTGGTGTCCCATATAAAGTGGAGGAAGATGGGCACAGATGTTAGCCCAGGGCCAGTCTTCCCCGGCAAAAGAGAGGAGGATTGGTGTGGATGTTAGCTCAGGGCTGATCTTCCTCACAAAAAAAAAAACAAAAACAAAAACAAAAAAAACACATATGTAGTATACTAAGAAGTGAATTTACATATTTTAACTGAGGGACTTTATGGGAACTACAGTGTCTAACACACTACTGGAATTCATCAGTGTCTTGATACTGAGTAGGAAACGCAGAAGCTGTTCCAGAGGACTAGACGGTGGCCTACATTCCCTGCAAGGCCAAGTCACACGCTGCTGAAGAGAAAATTGCCACTCACATACTTCCATCAGAGGTACAGTTACCAAGACAAAACTAAGAGTATTTCATAACCATACCAATATAAATGGTAAGAGATAAAATTCCAAATCACAAAAATGAATAATATTCCCTTTTTGTTACTAAAATGACTGACTAGACCTTCTGACAAATTAACCTTAGCTCCACTACATTGTTCCTCCTCTCTAGAAAAGAAGGATTAGATTTACCAAACACAAAAATTTTATGAAAGATTGGGGCTGGTGGTGTAGTGGTTAAGTTCACATGCTTCAGCATCCCGGGGCTTGCCAGTTTGGATCCGGGGCGTGGACCTACTCATTGCTCATCAATCCACGCTGAGGTGGTGTCCCACATAGAACCAGAAGGAGCTACAACTACGATATACAACTCTGTATTGGGACTTTGGGGAGAAAAAAGAAAAAGAGGAAGACTGGCAACAAATGTTAGCTCAGGGCCAATCTTCTTCAAAAAAAATTTTACAAAAGATGGAATTAAGTTTACTTCCTCTAAGTAGGAAATACAGAAAATGACTTGGTCCCTTGAACAGTAATCAAATCAACCAACACATGCCAAAATCTTGTAAGAAGTCCTTGTCAGCTCCTTCTTACTGTTCTACCTCAGTCCTTTTTGGTCTGTGGTCAATCTTATTAGAATTCATTACAACTCTCTCTTTGACCACAGGTACAATCCTGCAGGCCACTGGAAGAGGGCACTGAAAAAAACATAATTATTAAGTTTTGTGTTAAAAGTGAATGAGAGCGGGCCAGCCTCGTGGCTTAGCAGTTAAGTGCACGTGCTCTGCTGCTGGCAGCCCGGGTTCATATCCTGGGCGCACACCGATGCACTGCTTCTCCTGCCATGCTGAGGCCGCGTCCCACATACAGCAACTAGAAGGATGTGCAGCTATGACATGCAACTATCTACTGGGGCTTTGGGGGGAAAAAAAATAAATGAATAAATAAATTTTTACAGTGAATGAGAAATTAGTTTCATAACAAAAATTGTAACTATAAAAGAACAAAAAATAAACTTTGCCTGAGGAAAAAAATAACTGAATTTGTAAGCACATGATAAAATTGACTCATCATGTATGATGATTAAATGAAGAAAATTTCAATGTATATCTCAAAATCCATAATTAAAATGGAAATGAAATCACAATATTTATTAGCATAAACAGATTAAAACAGTTGATAAAATGTCTATGAAACAACTACAGATGTGTTCCTTTCTCAAGGAAATCCACGTAGTTTTAATGACATACAATCAAATGTTACTTAAAACATATCGAGGGAACACATTCAGCCACAAGTAACAGGAAACAGTCTTCCTGACATAAGAAAAGTGATTGTTCTCACACAAAAGAACTGGGTCAAGGTGGCCACTGCACAATACAGCAGAGAAACAAACTCCCAGGTCCTGCTTTTTATGCCCCATTGTAGATGTCATGGTCAATCAGGAAAACATGCTCACTAGCATTATTAATGGCATAAGGTGTTGACAATACAAATTACATCGTATACAGATGATATCTAGAGAAGGGAATCAGACAATACTCCTAACCACAATTATCTGAATTATTTTCCTGGTGGACACAAGAGGTCTTACAGAAAAACCCTAACTCTAAGGTATCTTTGATGTGAAACTTGTGAAAACATCAGCGACAAATACACTTCTAAGGACATGGAAACCAAATGGTTGTGGTTTTCAAGATACAGTTGACTAGACAGGCAAAGAATCCAGAAAATGGGCTGGAAGACAGTGTCCTCAAAGCTCTTATATAACTCTCTCCCTGTATAGTGGCCCCCAAATCTGCCTAATGATTTGTTTGCTTCTGCCTTCCAAATCTTATGCAAGTGAGGCTACTGGTGCATTCCAATATGGAACGAGAAAGAGGATTCTTAAAGACCTAGTTCTTAATATTACCCTAATTGATATAATGCAATACAGGGGTGATATGCTCAGCTCAAGATTTTGTTGACCTAATGCAGGCCTCTACTTAATTCAAAGTTGATTCACCAAGTACCAGTCAGAAGGAGGGAAAAAGAGCAAAAACCCAAATATGACAATAAGAATTCACATGAAAGGATACTCTTTGGTAACCTTGCCATGAACAAAAATTTAGTCCAATTGTTTAACTGTACAAAAATGGAAACAGGCTCCTATACGTACCACCCCTGAAAAAGAGAATTCTCTAAGAAAGATACAAAATATACAACAGATTAGGCACATGTAGGAACTATAAGACAGGGACACTAAGAAAATCCTAAAAAACATACAGTGTCATTTTTAATGGCCCCTTAGCACAGAACAATTAAAACATTAAATAGAAAAAATTACTAAGTGATTTAAGGAAAAAATACACTACCTATTAAGCTTATATACTATTGATAAAGGATGAACTGCAAAATTACCTCACCTCAATATTCATCCCTGAAAGTAGTGAATAGAAATCTACAATCCAATGTTGCACTTTAAGAAAGAGGCTTGGTAAAGACAACATATTTACAACTTTTATAACAACTCTTTCATGTGAAAGTTTTCTAGAATATTATACACAAATAAATTTCCAATAAGCTTTCTCGTATTAGTTACATTTTTATTTCTTTTTGGTGACAGTTTCACATAGTAGGAAGTGGGCAAATTAAAGTCTTTTCCATGTTATTTACACTCAAGAGATTTTTATTAAATGAGTCCTTCATACTTGCAGAAAGAACGGGATGACAAAAGACTTTTCCACGTTCTTTATATTTATGTGGTTTTTCACCTAGTGTGCATTCTTGCACATCCTCAAAGGTTTTCATGAGAAATAAAGGCTTTCTCATTTTACTGACATTCATAGGATTTCTCTACAGTGTGACTTCTTTCATTTCTTTGAAGTGATATGTGGTAAGTGAATACTTTCTCACCTTCCTTCTGTTCATAAGGTTTGTCTCCAGTATGAGTTCTTTCATGTGTTTGAAAAAAACAGGGAGAAATGAAGGCTATCCCACATTCTTTACATTTATAAGGTCCATCTCCAGTGTAAAAGACCATCAGTGATTGAAGGCTTGAGCGATTTATAAAGGCTTTCCTACCTTCCTTACATTCAAAGATTTTGTCTCCTGTGTGACTCGTTTCAAATATTCAAAAGGAACTGGGAGAAATGAATACTTTCTCACATTGCTTTCACCAGTAATGTCCACCTATGATGCGCAAGATCAGATGTGATCAAAGGCTTGAGGGAATCATAAAGGCTTTCACACATTCCTTACATTCATAGGGTTTCTCTCCAGTATGAATTCTTTCACGTACTCAAAGAGAACATGGAAAAATGAATGCTTCACTACATTTTTTACATTCATAAGGTCTTGGTCCAGTATGAATTCTTTCATGTTTTCTAAGGGAATGGGAGGAAGCGAATGCTTTACTGCATTTTTTACATTCATA